GTTTCCTGAACCTCTAGAAAATTGTGGGACAGTCTCTCTAAGGAATTTGATGACCTTAGGCGTTTCATAAACAGGCATCACACATCTTAATAAGTGCTGTCATAAAGAAAGGCCAAGAGTGTATTATGTACGCCATTTTCCTTTCTATGTTCTTTTGTTCAGCAATTTCTTTAAGATATATGATGATGTGTTCATCAGTTAGAATGGTGTGTTTAGCTTCCCATTCTATGCTTTTCAACCAAACCTCATAGGTTGCATCATTTTTCATATGTTTATGAATATGAACTAGAGCATTTTTTCTTAGGTCTTCAATTATTTCAGTATTATCTGTTACAGATGTATTGCTGGATTCAGCCATATTTCTATACACTGATTTAATCTCAATACAAAACTCTTTTCTATATCAAGATTAAATTGCATGAATTACACCAATATTATTATATATGAAATATAATTTCAACTTAAACGATCTCAGCAGCGTGCCTCCAATATGTGGGGATATTTATGGCATAATAATAGTAAACATTGAGAATTGCCCACTAATTCAATTCTCAGATCCCAAAGGTCGTTATCGTATTAAGTGAAAAGTATTTCATATAAATAAAATCACAATTTGTTATAAAAATAGATTTTATAATAACCAATAATTCATAATAATATGTAACATGCGTGACAATAATCAATTAGTATTTAGTACAACATAGTATACAATGCAATACAATGGGTATACACGTTTCAATGGCTAAACAGCATTTTCTGTCAAGACTTACACGATTTATGACTATCTTTCACAGAGAGAAAGCGAAGCTTTTCACAGCGAAGGGCCATAAAACCCTGGCTAACAGTTAGATCAACTGAATAACCCTTTCAATGCTGGCTAGATCACCTAGGTAATTAAGATCTATTCTTATGTGATTTTAAATAAAATAACATTTAAACCAGTTCATTAGTCATTTCCTGGAACCATCCAATAAGAGAATCTACCATGTTATAAGCAGATTTTAATTTGTCTAAAAAAGATATCTTATCTTATATCAGAGCAAATCAATACACCTGGATAAAAACAGCGGTATGCTAACACGTGATAATATCACATCAATATATAATTATTCTTAATTCCACCTGCAGAATGGAATGTTTATAACTATATATTCTTTAGTTAACTAAGATTTCTTAATATGGAAATCTGACCGTGATTTATCCAGTCATATATCATGCTATTAGTAAATTTTAATTAATTTAATTAATTAAATTAAACCAGTATAATTACCAGTTGAGTAGATATTCTCTTCAGATGAGTAGATAGTCTCAGGAACTTGTTTGGATGTCTCTCTGCATGGAGGTGTGTAGGAATTTCTGAGTGTAAAGTAGTGTTGGTTAGAAAGTGTCAAAGAGTTTGTGAGTAGAGTGTTAGTCTCAGATGTTGTCCTGGGTTTCTCTGCATGTCCAAGTTGGAGTCCCCAAACTTCTAATTCCCCTCTCCTCTTTTTCCTTCTTTCCACTCTCAACCCTCCTGTCTTCCCTTTGTCCTAACTCTTAAAGGGCCAGACTCTCTGTACGTCATCAGTTGATAACCCAATAGAAGCACTAGAGGTGTGCTTACCTAGGGATCGCAATTTAGGTATTTGGTCTATAGAGGGCAGTCTTGTCCCACTAAACATACCTATCCAGGAAAGAGTTAACTTTTCTTGGTGGCTATTTTGACGTCATTTTGCTTTATCTTTATAGTTGCCATAACTTACGTTTTCTTTCACTTCAAAGGGTTTTCTCTTAGTTTTGTCCAGACTTAGTGTCCGCAATTCCTGCTATAATTTCTAAAATGGCAGTTCATGAACTAAGTTTAACCTTTTCCGTACAATGGTACCTTATACATATAGAAAGTAAAATGTTATTATTTAATCTTCTCTGTCACCAATGTCTGGGTTTAGAATTGATCTATTCCATTAGCATTTAGACAGTCTATCCAACCCCCGTTATCCTTATCACTTGGTTTGTATATACTATGCATTCCTTTAACTCTGGGAAAGTGGTTAGTTTTACAGATAGAAATCTTGTGTCTTTTGTTAGCTTGGAAATAACAAAATGGAGTCTGCTCTGTTCAAAAGTGACTCAGCATATACACTTTTAATTTCTATCATAGCACAAGATGTCTGCCGATATAAATACCCTGTTAATTCGTGGAATTACCTGTCCGTATGCCCCTGTTCGTTTATTGCAATATGTACCGAATGAAACTACCGAACGGACGGCCACCCAGAAGAGAAGTTTGCTGCTGGTTAACCTATTGGCCTCAATTAGAACGTTGTGGTTAACCGCAGACACCTCTTCATTCTAACCGTATGCAGGGTGGTCGTCGTTCGCATGTCAACCACGAGGCGGCGGCCATTTTAAACACACAAATGCACAGCGGTGTTCAGCACTTAAACTATGGACCTAAAAACGGACACTCTTTCTACCGAACACAGCTGAAACTGCCGACCGCCCTTCTTATCCCCAGGCATGCGAACACCGGTCCGTTCGGGACTTTTATTGCACGAATTGACTTAACCCAGATAGTCATCCCATGGAGTCAATCGCATACCGAAAGAACAATGTGAAAGACTTTGACTCCATGGCGATTGAACTATGTGCATTGGGTCTGAGCGCTTTTTGGTAGTTATGTGCACTCAGACCCAGACTATTTGGGGATACGTTACACAAACTAAAAGCATTCGGTAGTTTTATAATTATGGATTTTTATGTGTTTCTGTTATAATATGTAAAATGGCGATTTGCCTCTATCCCTGGAGATAATTGGATTTCTTCCCAATTATCTCCAGGATAGAGAGGAGGGATTTACTTGTACAAAGGGGAGTGTTTAGAGTTGAGCCACTGTGATTGGCTACTGTATATTCTGTGTCCCAGTCTCCCATCTGGTCCCCTAGGGGAGTGTTCACCAGGTGGCAGACCTGCATAAATACCGGGCAGGCAGCCCTCATTAAAGCAGAATCCTGTTTTACCCTCAAGACGCAGCTTGGTCTCGTGGTTTGGGGGGGGATTGCTACTTGGAAGTATTATTTCGTCTATTCTAGGAGAGAAGGAGTTCAGCTGATTATTTATTCGGGAGTTTGCAGTATGACAACCCTTATACTCCGTTCAGGAGTTTGGCGGTCCACAGCAGCAGAGCCTGTGTCTCCAAAGGGGGAAGATTACCTAAACGGCGGTTTCACTCATTTAAGTTGAGAGTGTCTTAACATAATTCTATACTGCATAATCAACAATAACCCATTCATTCTAGTGTGCCTCTACAGCCCAAATGACCAACAGCGCAACTTCCTACATAAAGTCCTCAGTAAACTGCTAGAAGACTCGAATTACCCTAAGATCATATGCGGAGACTATAACCACACTATGGACTCACGTATAGACTCGACCGCCCCAAGCACATCGGCCAGACATCTCAAACTGGAACCAAATAAAGCATTCACAAAACTTATTCATGAAAATAGCCTACATGATGTCTGGAGGACAAGACACCCTTCTGAAATGGAATATACGTTTTTCTAACAAGTACACAAAACCTATTCAAGAACAGACCACATCCTTGCTTCAGGCACATTACTCCCACAAATAGAGGATTGCTCCATAGGCAACATAGTGTGGTCTGACCATGCCCCGTTAACATTGACTTTAAACTCCAACTACCAGCACCGAGGCAAACCATCATGGCGCCTCAACGATTCGCTCCTACATGATAAAATGTTCACAGCGAAACTGTCTAAGAATCTGCAAAAATACTTCCAAAATAATGACAATTCAGAGACCTCCATCTTCTCCATCTGGCATGCCCATAAAACAGTCCTAAGAGGCCAGCTGATCAGCCGAGCATCATACCTTAAACGTCAACGAGGAAAAGAATACACAAGAGAAAACATAAGAGAGATCACCAAACAAATCAACACACTAACACTTGAGAAAACAGCTCACATCCTCACCAAACTGAAACATACACTCAGGGCAACAGAGCAAGGAAACACTTGGCCACCTTACTTAAACAACAACAACAACATACCAACTCCAAAATCCCACACCTGATCTCCAAAACGGGTGAAAAAAATTCATAACCCACAAGACATCAACGACAATATGGCCGATTACTACCATTCTCTCTATAATCTTAGAACAGACCCTACATTACATCAACCCACCACACGAGAAATAGATTACTTTCTTAACACTGTGCAACTCCCCACACTCTTGACTGCACAAAAAAAAAACACTACACAGCATCAGATCACCACACAAGAAATCATAGACACCATCAACTCCTTACCACCAGGGAAATCACCGGGCCCAAACGGAATGACAAACGCATATTATAAACATGAGAACAATAGGAGGTTATGGAGTTGGACTGGCCAACAATAAACCTTCTGGTTGGTTACCAGGGGTAACCATATTAGCATAGCATATTATAAACAGTTTGCACCAATTTTAGCCCCCTACTTACAAAAAGTATATCACCACACTATTCAATCAGGAACAATGCCAAAAGAGATACTCATGGCCCATGTCGCCACCCTCCCTAAACCGGGAAAGCCCCCAAATAGATGTCAAAACCTCCGTCCCATCTCCCTACTGACATGACAACCCTTAAGACCAATTTCAATTACAACACGAGGCAGAACCACATTAAATTCTTAGGGATCAATTTCACACCTTCAACAAACACACTGCTCAAAGCAAGCTATACCAAGCTACTCACTGAAATCAAAGCCCTTTAACAAAGCTGGAGAGGGAATTATATATCCTGGACTGGACGGATAGCTTCGGTGAAAATGGTCATCCTACCAAAAATCCAATAATTGTTCCGCACACTCCTGCTTAAACTCTCCAAAAGATACTTGCTAGAACTGCAAAATATTATAAACGAATATGTACGGAATTACAAAAAACCAAGAGTGGCCAAAACCACGATATACAGACTGCATGCCCAGGGAGGGATGGGCCTACCTGAGGTGATGGAGTACTACAGAGCAGCCCATATTGCTCTGCTTATCGCTGCATCACACCTTCAGGACCCCATGGCATGGGCCGAGCTGGAGAGATGCCACGCTTGGGGACTCCCCCTCCCCATTCTGGCATGGCTTCTGAAAAACCACAGACCAAAGGCATCAGAACTGCTGCCAACTACTACACTAACCCTCTCCAAATGGGACAACTATCGAAAGAAGAGGGGAGCAACAGCACTACTTTCAGCCAGCGCTTCCACTGGAGACACTCCGACAGCTAATCCCAGATTTCAATCACAAAATCTGGCAGAGGCATGGTATAACTACAATATGGCAAATAATGCAAGGAGACTGCCTCCAACAACTCCAAGATCTTTGCACAGAATTCAAGCTACCCAGCACGGCGACTTTCTCTTACATCCAACTGCAATCATGGATAAATCTCCAAACGACACAACAAACAGTAAGGACACCTGACCCACATTGGCTTAAATTAATAAAGATATGCACAAGGGCCAAACCAGCGATGAAACTCATCTCAATAATCTACGCCTCGGAACATACTGATTCTCAAACAAGCCCATCCGCCTTCAAATCGGCATGGGAACAAGATATTGGGCACACACTCACAGGAGACCAATGGCAAGACATATTTCAAGCTCATAAAAAACTAACCCTCTGTACGACACACCTAGAACTCTCACGCAAACTACTTTACAGATGTTACCTTGTCCCCACGAGATTCAAACATAGGTACCCCAACACATCGGATACATGCTGGAGATGCCAAGCGAATCAAGGCACCTTACTACACATATGGTGGCAATGCCCCCTACTGCAACAATACTGGTCACAAGTATTAGAGCTAGCGACACAATGTACCAAAGTGCACATACCCCTTCCGCCAGAAACGTTCCTGCTACTCTTACTCCCACAAATGCCACACATACACCTTAAATATTTACTATACCACATTTGTATAGCAGCCCTCACTGTTATGAGCAGGAAATGGAAACAGACAACCACTCCAACAATCAACCAGTGCATTGAGGCAATAGAGTCCACCAAAACTTGTGAAATTATGGCAAGGAAATTACGGCAGACAAACTCCTACTGGACTGAAGCATGGGAACAATGGGACAAAAACAAACCGAACTGAACCCGCATCATAGGACAGCCCTTAGGTCGGACGGCGGACCTTCATGACCAGAGGCAACACATCGCACACTCACTGGCTAACACCAACACCACACCTGACCACAACAGAACCCACCTGTACGCAATCTCACCCCTCCAGATCCTCCCCACCCCCCTCCCTACGGGACAACACTAATAATACATGCAGTAATAGATCCCTGAGCCAAGTCAGGCTTAGCTCGACCCACACAACCCAAGTTATGATAAGCTTAAGTCAAACTACTGCAATGGCGAACACCGCCCACAAGCCATTTCCCAGAGTTAATGATACCACTGTGAATAAAGGTGTTACTAATGTTCTGTATACCCTTGACGAGCTATTATATCTAAACTGCAACAATTTAAGCGATGTTACCCCACCCTACTTGCCTTCTGTATACCTTTAAACAAAATAAAAATTGTCAAAGAAAAAAAAAAGTTTCTTTTTTAGGCAAACCAAATATGGACGAAGTCACAATATCCCAGAAAGAGACGAGTAACTAATACACAAACACAGGTGGCCAATCTATCTTCCCACACTCTCCTTCCCTCGGAACGGAGTGTCTTACGTAACGGGTTATCCTTTTTCCCTTTCCCAAACTTTGATCTTTTTACCTGGACAAAGGATATAAACCTTTTCGCTAGAAAACTGGCATTATATTAATTTCACTCACTGAGAGAAGAGAAAAGAGCAAAACGTATGGGGTTAGATATAAATGATCTAAACTTGTTAGGCACACTGGTAGACCTCCTAACTACTAATGAGAAAGGTAACAACTTTAAAGCACCATTCACAAATCATAAACGTAAAAGTACCTTCACCCCTCATCTAGTCAATTTCAAGTACATTGACCTGTTCATTGAATTGACATGCATTGAACTAGAGAAACTGACCAAGAGTGATCACTTGTTAAAGCAAAACAGTAATATTTCACTTGAGGAACAAAAATCCTTGGGAAATTTGAGTAACAACAAATCACTTATTATAAAGCCATTGGACAAGGGTGGCAATATAGTAATGATGGACAGGTCACAGTACATTGATAAGATGACCAGACTGGTGAGAGATACATATAAAATTCTCAAGACAGACCCAACCCAAAAATATCTATCAGACTTCGTCTCTTTTGGACGATGCCCTCCATAAGACACTTATCAGTAAAGACAAATACAATTTTATGTTCATTAAGAACCCACAAATAGCTATGTTCTACTCACTCCCTAAGATACACAAACAGCAAACACCAATACCAGGATGACCGATTGTCTCTGGCAGTGGTAATTTAACACAGAACATCAGTATATATGTAAATCACATCTTAAGAGATATCGTCACAACACTGCCCTCTCATTTGAGAGACGCCAAACAAACTTTTAATCTGTTACAAAATCTAGTAATACCTCAAGAGGCAATCATCTGTAGCCTTGATGTAGAAGCAGGGGAGGATCCAGAGCCTAATCTTGGGAAGGGCACTGGTAGTGGGCTGTAGTGGTGTGATAGGGGCTGTAATGGGGAAACAGCGGCTGTAATTGAGGAGTTAGTGGCTAGGAGCACTATTGGGGGACAGGGGCTGTAGTGGGGGGATAGGGACTCTAGTGGGGGTAAGGACTGTAATGGGAGGGATAGGGACTGTAAATGGGGGGTTAGGAAATGTAGTAGGGGGAATGGATGCAATCGGGGATATGGGCTGCAATTGGGTGAGAGGGGCTGTAGTGGGGGGTAGCGACTGTAGTAAGGGAAAAGGGGCTGTAGTGGGATGATATGGGCTGAAGTTAGGATGAATGGGGTTGTAGTGTGGGGGTATGGGCTGAAGTTGGGATGAATGGGGCTGTAGGGTGGGGGGATATGGGCTGCATATAGGGGATACAGGAACTGCAGTGTGGGATAGGGGCTTCAGTGAGGAGTAAGGGACTGTGGTAGAAGGGTTAGGGACTGTAGTATGGGTGTTACGGGCTGTAGTGGGGGGGTAGGAGCTGTATTAGGGAATTAGGGACTGTAGGGGGGGGCTAGGAGCTACATTTGGAGGTATAGGGACTGTAGTGGGGATAAGGGCTGCCATAGGGGGTAAAAGCAGCAGTGGAGATAAGGGGCTGCAGTGGGGAAATAGGGGCTGCTGTTTGGTTAAAAGGGCTGTAGTAGAGGGCTTAGGGCTGTAGGGCATAGGGACTGCAATTGGAGGGTTAGGGGCTGCAATTGGGGGCATCAGTAAAATGTAAGGAGCTTTAATAAGGGTGTTAGGAGCTGAAGTAAAGGGCTTTAGCTGGGGGTGTTAGGGATTGTAGTAAGGGGCGTAAGTAGAGGAGGTTATGGTCTGTGGTAAGGACTTTAGTAGGGGAGGTTAGGGCCTGTAGTAAGGGGCTTTAATATGGGGCTAGGGGCAGGAGTAAGGGACTTTAGTACAGGAGGTTAGGGGCTGTAGTAAGGAGTAAGGGGCTTTAGAAGGGGGCTAGGGGCTGTAATCAGGGTTTAGGGATGTAGTAAGGAGTAAGGGGCTTTAGTAAGTGAGGTTATGGGCAGTAGTGGGGGTTTAGAATGGGGTGTTAGGGGCTGTAGTGGGGGCTTTAGGGGTGTAGTAAGGAGTAAGGGGCATTAGAAGGGGTGTTAGGGGCTGTAGTGGGGATTTAGGGGTGTAGTAAGGAGTAAGGGGCATTAGAAGGGGTGTTAGAGACTTTAGTTGGGGAGGTTAGGGGCTCTAGTGGATGGTAATGGGGTGAATTTGGGCATGGGGCTGCACTTAGGGGGCTGAAGAAAAAAAATAGTGTATTCCCCCCTTCCTGAGGCTTACCTTGGGTGGGGGCGGGGCCTAACCAGGGACAGAACCTGTCGCAAGGGGGCGGAGACTGGTGCTGCCGATGTACAAAATTCAGCAGCAAAGCAGGGCCACCGGAAGCCCTCTCATCGTTCTGCATTTCTATCTTGGGGGGGGGCAATTGCGTGTGTAGGCATTCCTTGAAGAACATGATCCCATGCTATCACCTCACAACAAATTTGTCATGGAATGACTCCATTTCCTTTTAACCCATAACTATTTCCTATTTCAGGGGAAATACTACCACCAGGTGAGATGGAAAGCTATGGGGACAGCTTGAGCACCCTCATATGCTAACCTCCACCTGGGGTGGTGGGAGAGAACTGTTTTTTTCTGACAAGACATTGGATGTCTTTACCAAAAATGTGAGTGTATGGAAAAGGTTCATAGACGATATTCTGATTATCTGGACAGGCACCACAGACCGGTTCAGAGAGTTTGTGGACAAATTGAATCAGAATGAAATAATTCTCAAATTAACTGTGGGAAATTGGAGGCAACCAACTGAATTTCTTCGATATCTCTATTAAAATTGAGCAAAAAGGTGAAATATCGACAACACTATACAGAAAATCAACAGCTACAAATAATCTACACAAGTGGGGAAACCATCACCGCCCCCCCCAAGTTTACCCCATTCGTATCAGGTAAGTCTGACAAAAAATGGTCCTTAAGGACCACGGACGTACCTGATATGTCTGTGGGGAATTAGAGCGCTGGCAGCGATCATGATCACTTCCAGCAACTCTAATGGTATTGCAGCGATGCCTTGATGTTGAGGCATTGCTGCAATGCCCCCCTTCACTGCCGGTGGCCCCCGGAAAACACCGAGTGATCGCTTCCCCTGGAGCGATCACTTCCGGGTTGCTCCACGTGGATCCCGGCAGTGAGGCAAAGCATCGGAAGCCATCAGGCAGGCTTCCGATGCTCTGCCTGTATGGAGTGCCTCGAGGGGTCGAGTAAGTAAATATAAAAATAAATTTTAATAAAAAAAATGTAACCCCTACCTTGCTCCCTCTCACTCCCCATGTACTTACCGATCACCACCATTCCCATGCCAGCGATCGGTCTTCTTAGGGGGGACTTTCTGTGCTCAGCCCAGACAGCCCCCCCTCTCCAATTTAGGACCCCCAGGAGCCATGTAACCGCTCTAAATGAGCGGTCACATGGCCGCCATAGGTGTCCACAGTCTTGCCAGCAGGGGGACTGCCTGAACTGACAGGCATTCCCCCTGCTGGTTGAAAAAGTTTGAAAATAAAATATATATAAATAAATGTAAAAAAATAAATAAAATTATATATATATATATATATATATATATATAATATAAAAATACACTTAGAGTAAAATTACACTATAATAATATAAGAATAAATAATTAAAAATAAATAAACTAAAAATAATTTTTTAAAAATTATAAATATATGTAATTTATTCTAACTGTATTTTGATAACATTTATATCAAAATAGACGTAGAATATATATATATG